ACGCCTTGACTTCACTGCACAACAAAAAAACTTCACCAAACAACAACCAATAAAAAAAGCAATTAATACGTCATAGTGGTGGGGGGAGGCCGAGAATCAGCTGTAAACAACTACTAGTTGCATAGGTTCCTTGGCAGGTAGATATCTCTGTCTTGGGTCTGCGATTAAAAACACTTGCACCAGAACAGAAAGGTGTTTTTGGTCCACCTGTGAGCCAACAACTATCTGCTCTTGATATTTCCTTCTCCCGGAGGATCCAGTCCTATATCTACTCGGAAACAGTACTTCATAAAGCAGTTATCCGAAAATCAATGAACTCATGAAACTGAGGAGTTTTACGGCCAAAAGATCAATGGTAACAAAGTTGAAGGAGCTCAAAATAAAATGCAGACTAGGCCAAACGGACGATTCAGCTGTGACAGAACATGTACTCAGTGAAGGAAACCACATGATCATGATTAAATACACGAAACTCATTACCCGTGACCAGGTATATCATAGCCGACTTGTATAGGCAATAGAAATTCACAAACACACGGATAATTTCAAAAAAATGAGCTGGGAACCTCAACCAAATATGGAACCCTATTTTAAGAAGTTCAAGAATAGCAAACAGTATGATGGCAGGTAGGAAAGGGTCAAATAACGTTATTGACAATTTACCAAATCACTGTTTTTGTATAAAAATAATATCAAATGGCTTTCATTATTCTCATTGTGGGTCCGAGCAGTTGCTCAAAGATGTTTTCTCCTTCTCTTTGTATTTGTGGTCAATAGTTCCCAACAGTATGTAGGAAAGAGGCTAAATACTCTGAGAGGTCGCCTGGTATCCTAGAGACTCCTTTGGTGACACTTGATAACGCACAGGTAGGTATTATTCATCTCTCGGCACATGTCGCAAGACACCACTGGATTGAGCCCCCTAACTAATTGCCTACTATAACGGGGTTACCACAGACGTATTTCACCCCACAGTACCGCCCAGTATCGAGGTTAGAGAAAATAATTAATACTTTTGGTCATTTTGGTTGTTATATTGTCGATATCATTCAATCTGAAATGTGCAGTAATTATCAGTCTGTTCAAGTTAGATAATTCTGGATCCAAATTGATATAACTAATACGAAAGAACTCAAACTTTGTTGGATCGTGATTCTTAATTCTTTCATATTTGAAAATAGGAAGAAAACTGTTAAAACATTCTCAACGCAGACTTTCATCTGTAGAACTCTTGAAAAAATTAGGGGCGGATTGATCTGCTGATACACCCTTGAATTCACTTTAGATCGTCAGCGGTTCCCCCTCTAACATGCGGAGGATATTACTACCGACATGCACGGGATATTACCTGCCAATTTCAGCCGGCAACGATACACTCTCAAGTTGTTGTGACATTCGGAAAACACTGAAAATTGAAGCTAAAAGCTGCGTTAGCCGACATCAAACATCAAAGGAAAACTGTATATTGAATAACTTGTTTCCTAATAATGAATTTCGCTGGAAGTCTTGATATTGAAACTGGCGAAGTACGAGGGGACGATCAAGGAGGAATGCGTTCGCGTTGCCGGCGCATTACTTCGTTTGAATTGGAAATTCTCACTCACATACTTGCATCTAATAAACTCGGAAATTTCCATGTAATTAACTTTCAGCTTCTGTCTGAAAGATCAATGAAGCATATTGTTTTCTGCGTTCGAGAAATATTATTACGAGGGCGACTTAATTAGCTCACACACTATAGAATGAAGAATGGAATATGTACGTATATATATTGTGATTCATTTACACTATGAGTTTCGTTTTTTTTTTTCATACAGGGCGATTCTCCGAGAACTGCATCGATTGATATCATCACTACAAATTACAAATTGAAGTCTCTAGCCATGTCTGATTATATGGACATAATAAACTTGTTACGGTTCAATTTTTCCAATCGTTCAAAAATTTTGTTTTTATATTTCCAATATACGATTATTTCAATCAATACATTTTACCAACTTCGTGAAAGTTTTCACATAACTTTTCAACAGATTGATGATCACAAAATCAAAAATTACAAAAATAAATAACTAAAGTAACACATACAGTTGAATAAACATCATAGAAACCACAGATGCATCAGATAGTGCTTGTATGTGGTGAAAAGGGTATCCAAAGGAAAAAAATGAATGTATGATAAATATTAAAGTATGATAATGAATTATATAAAAGGGATTTGCATATGAGAATGAACTACTTAATATATGAAATTAAAAACCCATACGATAATTTTCTTATTAGTCAATGGGCTATGCTTGAAGACTGGCAATAAACAAATCTAAAGCAAATGGAACTTCAAACGTTCAAGCCAGTCTCTATATACCTACACAGTAGGTTTAATGGACTGACGCCTATCAGAAAACAACTACTCCCCTGGCTAATACCACGAAGGGAATTTTGAAATTTTCGACTGAGTGTGGTTTCTTTTTGATATTGTGTGCTTCAGATCACCTTGTATCAGTATTGAAAACCATATCTGCAAACGTAGGATTTATTGCAGGCAGATAATCAGCTTTCCAAGGAAAATCGTGCAACTAAACTCGTAATACACCTTAACTTCGGTTTTTATTTCACATTATTCATTTAAATATGGTCGCGACGAAGAGTAATTCCTTCAGTGTGTTAGGTTATCCCCATAGCAAAACGTATCTGCCAGCTAGAATCGAATAAATTATGAACGTTCGCATGTTTCAAAGATTTTTTTGTGTATATATCGTAAGAGTGGTTTGAGAGCACCGTAGAATTTCCGAGTCGTCAGTATCGGCATAATACTGTTAAGGCAGTCTGCACCCCCTTGCAACGTTATATGGATTACTTGAAAAGCAGCTAAGTTTAGGCTAAGTTCACTGAGAAATAAAGAAACTTGCTTGGATTTATATCTAGACACAATAACTTGATTTCGATAAATATGGCTTTTACGTTACATTTCAGTGTTTATTATTGAATGTAATTTATTTGAAATCTGAATAAATTGCCTCTTTCAGTAATTCAATTGTGATTCAATTTTTTTAAAATATTTTTCAGCTATAGTAGATTCCCGCACCAACAGGGCAGTTATCTGGTTTTAAATTGGTGGCGCTCTAATTTCTCTTACCATCATTTTGAATTGAATGCACCCACGATTTAGTGCACACCACGGACCTAGTCGGGTTTGTTGGAGGTGTTTTTATTTGGCAACCCTATTGTGATTTTTTTATATCTTGAACAGAAAAATCACATAGCAAACTCAAAAACTACCGAAGGGATTTTCATTGGGTTTCCACCAATGGCTAAAGTGACTCCATAGGAATGTTCTGTATGCGTTGGGGGAGTGATGATACCCATGCTAGCTTTCACCGAAAACGCTCCTTAATTCCTAAGAGATTTTAAAAAATACGAAAAAAGTCCGCGATGGTCTTTGGAGGATATCTTACTTCATCCATTTCAATGTTTGAAATATTGGTCACATTGATATGGAAATTGAAAGGGTATTAAGATGCATATGACAATCATCCTAATCGAATGAAATCTTTAGTTCCCTTGAGCGTTTGATGCATATTATGTTTGCCCTCTACACCATACAATCCATATTATCTTAGGAGTTATCGCAAAATCAAAACCATCACGTGATGGTGAATAAATTCAAGCGGCCTGACAAATTGATGCGACAAGCGTGATACAAAAGGTTGTAAATTCGGTTTTACACAGTTAATCATTTCGAAAGTTGAGTTCATATCATTGTTTTGGACATGATTGTTGTAAAATTTTACTTTTATAAGAAGTCGATAGATCTTGCTCTATACACCCTTGCTCTATACACATCAGTGGGTAGCACTACCCATAACGAATATGACTTCGAATGGTCGAATCCATGGTTTCAGTGCATCAAAAAAACGATTTAGATAGTTTAGAATGTTCATCAATGACCTGAAGTGTTCCTGGATGGTCCTTAACATTTCAGACTATTTCCGAACATTACACCGGTATGTTTTAGAATGTTGAGGATTCGCTTCAGGAAGTTGATCTGAGATTGTGTAATAATTGAAATAAAAGGATAAACTTCCAAATGAATTCTCAATCATTCTGTTTCAAACTTCTCCCACTCATCAGAAACTTCTAATGGTTTATAATGTTCCAAATTATCCCACAGTATTTGAAATTATTTTAAAATGTTCCAAAATGACCTGGGATGTTTCTGAACATTCCAGACTATTCCAGAAATTTTCAGAATGTTCCGGTATATTCTGGATTATTGTGAAATATTGTTCAGTAAATTTCTAGCACTTTTTTTTTCAAAAGGAAAGGAGTGATTTTACGTATAGAATTCGATAAAAAGAAACCCCATGAAGATAATGACATGTCATCAATTGACCATCGTCATTATATGGTTTGAGGTATTTCATGATGAGTAACAATGAAATAGTATGTGTGATAGATATCATTAGCGCCGTATTAAGGCATGGGCTACCTGGGCCCCCAAAAGTTCGTGGGAATGACAAAATCTTTCTCAGAAAAACATCATTGAAATTTTTGGAATCAAATCAAATTTAAAATTATTGAAATTCTAACAAAAGTTATAATTTCTTCCGAAATTTTCGGGGAAAAAAATTAACCAATTTAAAACCAACAATTAATCTGAATACTTTTTCTAATAATTACAGTNGACTTACTTGGTATGAAAGAAAAGCGTTGATCTTGTTGATGAAGGTTTGGCTACTCAACTGAACAACGAAATGACTTACTGGAGACAGGTGTTGAGAAGGATCGTGTAGGTCGTAAAATTCTTAGCATCCAGAGATCTGTCGTTCCGCGGGGACAACGAAGTCATCGGATCGCAACATAACGGAAATTATTTGGGCGTGCTGGAACTGCTAAGCAAGTTTTATCCATTTCTTGCCGACCATTTGTACAATCATGCGAATAAAGATATAGGACATATTTCCTACTTGTCAGCACCCATTTGCGATGAGTTCATAGCTATAATGGGACATCAAGTACTGAGCCAAATCATTTCGGAATTGGAGAAAGCGAAGTACTACTCGATAAGCGTCGACTCTACCCCTGACATCAGCCACATCGATCAGCTCACTTTCGTGGTGCGGTACATGATGGACTGCTCCCCAATAGAACGATTCTTGGATTTCATTCCGATTGAACGGCATGGAGTAGAGTATGTGTCCGCTTCAGCTGTATTTTTTCTTGAAGAAAACGGTATAGATTTACAGGACTGTCGTGGGCAGACGTACGATAACGCTCCAAACATGGCAGGGCAGTATAATGGATTACAAGCAAAGCTTAAGGAACACTGCACCTGCGCCCTGTTCGTCCCATTTCTGGCACACAGCCTGAACCTCGTCGTTGGGCAGGCCGCTGGGTGTGTCATCGAGGCGACAAGCTACTTTAAGTTGCTGCAAAAGTTGTACAGTTTCTTCGCCAGTTCTACACATCGCTAGAACGTGTTGAAAATGTCTCTCGGGGAAGGTACAGTGGTGAAACGACTTTCGGACACCAGGTGGTCTGCGCGCGCGGATGCTGTATATGCATTGCACAAGTGTTACCCACCAATAATCGACGCACTGGGGACTATGGATGACGAACGAGAAACTCCGGAAACACGAAACGAAGCTCGAGGCATTTTGGCGAAACTGGAAAAGTTGGACTCTGTTCTACTGACCGAGATGTGGAGCAACATTTTGGTCAGGTGCAACGAGACGTCGAAGAGTCTACAGAGTGAAAGTCTCCCTCTCGACGTAGCCCTCAAGTTGGTGGAATCCCTGCTTGCGTTTGTGGAGGATCAACGCGACATGTTCGAGACCTACGAAGCTGCGGCAAAGAAGATCTTCTCGGACTTAGAATATAGGCATAAGACAACCCGTTCGAGACAAAGGAGCTCCCGACTGACTTTCTCCGATGAAGCTGCAGAAGATACCCAGTTCCAGGGCTACCTTCCAATCATCGACTCTTTGATCACTCAACTGCAACATCGTTCGAAGGCTTACGATCCGATCAACTACTCAATTTGTTCGGATTCTTTTCCAGGTTGAGCGTTTTGCGATTTGAAGAGCTGCAAGATCATTGTCAGACTTTTAGCGAGTTTTATACAAACGACGTCGACGATAAAGAACTGCTGATGGAATGTGAACACTTTAAGCATTATTTGATGCAGGAAAAAATGTTCGGTGATCACATACCTATCTATGACATATCCTTAGAGATTTACATTTCAAAGATGTAATCGAGGAGTTCGCCATTCGAAAGGCTCGAAAAAAACCTGTGTAATGAATAAAATGTTGTAAGAAATATTTGTAACACGTGTTTTTGTAAAAAACATTTTTTTATGGGGAGGGGCCCCCAACGGTGACTGGCCCAGGGCCCCGGAAGTAGTTGTTTACAGCTGATTCTCGGCCTCCCCCCACCACTATGACGTATTAATTGCTTTTTTTATTGGTTGTTGTTTGGTGAAGTTTTTTTGTTGNATGAAATTCATAGTTGTTTTCAACTGAAGTTTTAGAAGAGAAACAACTCAAATATTATTTCATATTAATCACAGAAATCAAGATGGAAATTTTGAATTGAAAAGGGAGTATGTTTGGAAGAGATCAACTTTTTGGGAAAAAAAGGCTTTTTGGCATTGTACTTTTTCATCATTGAACTAAACATGTGGGAAACATACGGAAAAATTAAGAAGGAACATAACAACAATAAAAACTCTTCACAAAGATGTGTAGAGCACAGTTTGTATCTGAAAGAAACTTATGTTCATTGTCCTTTTATTGTAGGTTTTCCACATTTTTTGTCGGTTGTTGTCGAAAGCCAAAAATTTTTTTTCTCGAAAATTTCAAATAATAAAGATATTAGATGATATAAAATTGATTGAATTTCATTAGGAAGTGGAATATTTATTACTCACTAGCTAACTGAAATTTATTGCAATGAAAGTTTCGTCAACAAAGTTAACATATTCAATAGATTTTCTGATTGATTCGGCCGTTACTTGATGAAAATCCATAGTAACTTCAAAAACTACACATCACGAGAATAAAATCACTTGACTGTGCTAGCGAAACATGTGATATATTTTTCAAAAAAAGTTTGTGCAGATCAAATCGTGAGGTAGTTTTTGCAAATATACAAGAGATGATGGGTAACAATGTTCATTTAAGATTTTTCCTACATAGAAAATGTTAATAATTCCCCAATTGACTGAGTGACTCTATACAGGGTGAGACATCTAATGTTGCATTCAAAATTGATTTAATAAAAATAATGAGGAATTACTATAATTCAATCATGGCAAAAACTTTAGAAATTTTTAATGCAGACAGTGAAACTACGTTCAAAAACACGAATATAGTACATATTGGTATATTGGTTGAAAAAAAGGGTTCCATCCAGAGAGAAAAACATTTTGCATAACAAGGAATTATGAACGAGTTACTTTCGATACTGGAGTGGAAAACGGACTCAGTGACAATGAGATACTAAACAACTGTTTAGTATCAAGCTTCAAAGGGTGAATAAACACCTTGAAGTGAGCTAATCCTGGAAGACTCTGCCCGAAGTCCATAAATCTTCTTGCCATCCAGATGTTCAATGTTTGTTTGGCAAAGCCTGAATCGATGCCAGTGATAGGTTCTGATTCGATCAAACTGTTTGCAACACCCTCCTTTGCAATTTAGCAGCCTCACTGCCTTCCAGGCCAGTATGGCTAGATATCCAGACCAGAGAAAATCTGTTGAGTCTTCCTATCGAGGAGAGTCGTTTTTGACAATTTGCTACCAACTTAGACGTTGCTTGGTAGAAACCAAGAGCTTCCAATGCCGCATGACAATCCGGTAATATTTGTATTGATTTGTGTATGAGGTTAGATTCATCCAATCTCTCTGCACAAAATTCGATAGTGTAAATTTCCGCTTGAAATACATTTGCATAGGTTTCTTGGCAGGAAGATATCTCTGTCTTGGGTCTGCGATCAAAAACACTTGCACCAGAACAGAAAGGTGTTTTTGATCCACCTGTGAGCCAACAACTATCTGCTCTTGACATTTCCCTTTCCCGGAGGATCCAGTCCTATATCTACTCGGAAACAGTACTTCATAAAGCAGTTATCCGAAAATCAATGAACTCATGAAACTGAGGAGTTTTACGATGTCACAAAATTGATAATATATCACACCCTGAGAGATGTGCTTTCAACAATGTTGTTTTTGGATTGTAACTCAACTGATATCTTGAAAATTGAAAATATGAGTCAAAAAGATTGGTTCCTATCTTACCATCTTAAGACTCGTGCGAAATATATACCTTTTTGCTCAAAATTGATGAAAAAATAATTCTGAAATCTCACCGGAATAAATTATAACAATCCTTTTTTCAGATATATTTAATGAATGAAATAAGTTTCACTTTACATAACAAAGCATTGTGAAGTTTGAATTTGTCCTTAGGTATGCATACTTCAACAACAGCATGAACAAACATATTTTGAACTGAATTCAATGACACAAGTCCTTTTCATGTTTCTTGTCTCACTCTCCTCATGGTCTAGTACCAGAAAATTATATATTGAACACTTTGAATGTTTCATCCTCACTTAGTCACTATTGTGACTAAATGAGGAATCAAGCTATTTTAACTAGGAGACTTGTTTGATTGTACTGACATGTATTAATGCTCAGCTCACATTCAATTTCTAAATTATCACTGCCAGATATATTTTTTGTTTTCAATAATTGAAAAAAAAAATTATTTAGTATAACACAGGTTATGTATACTGTAGCATACACAACTGTATATACCATAAGTATCCGAGCTCAGTATGGCGAGATAAACACTCACTTGCGCAGGGTGACCTGTCGCCACGGCATGCGTCGCCAACCCAGCAATCGGTTTTATGTGCGACTATAGATGTTTCACATCAAATACTGCCCTTCAGCTATCTCATTCCTCTTTGAATTACAACCGTAAACCCGAAATCAAACTTTCTGAAAAGTAGTTTACACCTCTAAAATACACTTCGGATTTTCTTTATCAAGAAAATCGTTTCCGTCGCTCTATTTTCTCCATCTGGTCTCCGGTTGCAATTGGAGTTGTTCGTGTTTACGCAAGTGAATCGATATTTAATCATAGGAATGCTTTCTGTGTCGTCAGCTTTTCCAACACATGCAGGTAATCAAATAATCGACCGTTCTATGTATTCCTGTCTGTCGTTTCTAGTCGTTGACAATTTCTTGTACATCTTTATTTTTCTATTGTGGGAGTATGTCTTTCGAAACTTTGAACGAAATGAACAAACTAAAAGTAGCATAAACAGAAAGTTTTTTTACAATTATAATGATTTTATCCACAAAAAAATTAATAGGTTTATGGATATCTTGAGGTTTTTAGGTTTCCAACTTTCCAATCTGAAAAATATATGTGGTAAAGGGCAAACTGGAAAGTTCAACCTGATTTACTACGTATTATAAACCACTGAAGAGTCCAATTAGTTAGTATATTGTCGTATTTATATATTTTAAATGTCAATTGAGCTTTTTCCACGATGGTTAATTTATCAAAAATTAGTCTGTTTTCGTTTTCAAAGTCTAAAATTCTTGGTAAAAAACCTAGATCGCAAATATGTCGATTTTTTGACGAACGTCGAAAAGATGAAATGTCCAGATGTCATATTCGATTGTCTGAATGAAAATGTCTGTTTGATCTTGGTTTCTGCGATACGCTTTCTTTTAAAAAAATATCATAGATCAACTGTCGTACTTCTCATGTAGCCGCAAGATGGTCTCAATAGTCATTATATCTATTCAGTTCAGTTTTCTATTGGTCTTTGGTAGATGCTGTTGCTAATACTATTGTTTTCTTTTCATTTAGAAAAAACCGCATAAGCCGTAGCTATTAGCGACAAACATATGAAATATATCTAAAATATGCAGTTGTTAACATTACAGTTTGAATAATATGTTACATTCTTTAAGAAATTTAATAATATTGTTTGTATTGGTATTTTGGAAAATTTCACTTTGGTCGGAGGGAATTTTATTGTTCAGTCTCTCAACTGTGAAGAGCGGGCAGTCTACCAGAACATGCTTAACAGTCACAAGAACTTCACATGCGAAACATTTTGGTGGCGGTTCTTTCCTCAGCAGATGTTCATGCATAAGGCGAGTGTGGCCCAGTCGTAATCTGGTAATTATGACTTGATGGAACCGGTTTTTACTTTGGTGTTCCAAGGATATAATGTAGATTTGATTTCCTTAAGTTTGGAGGGTTTTTGAGACCAGTGGTGATTCCACATTTCTACAATTTTGCCATGAAAAAAGGATTTGAGATCTGTTGGCAAATATTTTCATACTGAGAGTACATGTTGGATTTTCTAAAGTTTCTCTGGCAAGTTAATCGGCTATATCGTTTCCAGTAATCCCAGTATGTGAAGGAACCCATAGGAAGGTTACTGTCC